TGTTTACTTAATTGATTCCTCTTTTACAAAGTAGTGAGATTCCATACATTTTACCACTAGCATATACACATAACTCTCTTAACCGCGCCCTATATATATCCCAATTGTTAAGCTAGCTTAGTAAACATATCGATATGTATTTTACTATGGAAAAGCTAACATGAAAGAGTTACGACACTAAAAACATTACTACTCAAATATCTACCCGGAACTTCTCAGTTTCCATAATCTTTTTTCTCAAAGCTGACACACATATACTTTCCGAGAGTTGAATTTTTCTTACCTATCACCTTTCGTTGGTAGTATGATAATAGCACGTGCCATAGAGGCAGCAGCCCTCTCAAATGATTTCGTCATGTTAAGACTACAACTGCACTGGTAGAAGCATGAAATCAGCACTGTAAATGTATGCAAACCAACAAGAACATGAATTAATATGGCATGTCAACCACTTTAGGTTCACTTTTGCTTAATAGGTAGCATGTCAACCACTTTACCTCTTTGTAAGGATATCAATATGATTAAAATCTCTGGAGTACGTCTCAGCTAGCTTGTCCATCTGCTTCCTTGGAGTATCAGACATGAGCAGAAGTCTCTGCTTCCTGAAAGCATGTAACAAGGAAAAGTAAGTATCCCAGTCAACATAAGCCGAGAAATAAATTGTAGATATATAGAGAGACCAAAATACCTAGCTGTAGCGGTACCTAAGCGGACAGCATGCTCATGGTAGCTGTTCAGTTGCTTTAGTATGAAAGGTAGATGACTGTTTATTCCACAAATGATGATATGATCAGCTTCTAGGACTTGCATCTGTGCCCCTTCCCTCAGTTTTGTCATATTATACTGCCAGCCAAAGCGATTACGAATTTGTACCAATTAACATTCATTTTTCACCAGTAGCGTTTATCTCAAGAACTTACCCGAAATTGTTCTGTCATTGTGCTTAAAAGCCGAGAGTAAAACAATATTCCCCAAATGGCTAGGACAAATCCAATGACTCTTTCAATGCGTGTCTTTTGCTGCATTTTTCAGTAGACATATATGCATTTAGTTTCAAGAACTCCATAGAAATATCTTGAGGCTTGTAATTTGAAATTATCTTTGGATCAGTGAAGAAGCAAATCATGACCTTCAGATGAGTAGAAGAGGATATGAGGCATGCCCAGGCTTCCCAAAGGCAGTCTTCTAATGGTAGGTCTTTCCTTCACATAAGTAAGAAATCATGCAATGGAAATTCATACGTTAGAGTTAAGTCCATTTACAAGGGTCTTCACTTAATACATAACATACATTAGATTATTTTGCTTTTCTACAATTTCTTCATCAGACTAAAACCAAGAATTGTGTTTTATCATTCATGTATAGAGTTTCAGAAAACTTCATCATATAACCACACTAAGACGATCTTGAGAAGGCTTTAAATCGATAAGCTAAGGTAAATAAAGTTGTGTTACCTGAATTTGAAAAATAGGAGTCCCCCAATGATAACAAACGATACACATGCTATCATGAGCGCCACAAGGAACCTAAAATAGCCACGACAAGGGATCAAAACGGATGTCATAGTCACACAAAAAAATAGAATGTACTACATATGAACAATGCTAATTTCAAGGACAGTGATACTAACAATAATACTCAGTATGAATCTGATATTACTTAGGTGATCCTCAAACTCTATGTCCACACTATTGGAAGCCGAAAGATTTAAGTCAATTTTTACACTATTTCCATG